CCCCCTCTCCCAATTGTCCTCTTACCAGCTGAGCTAGTGGTGCTAGCCTCTCTGAGTTTTCACTTGTTTTAATTGGTGAAGGCGAGTGTTCTCACCCCCTCTCCCAATTGTCGTCTTTTACCAGCTGAGCTAGTGGTGCTAGCCTCTCTGAGTTCTAACCTTGTTTTATTTGGTGAAGGCGAGTGTTCTCACCCCCTCTCCCAATTGTCCTCTTACCAGTTGAGCTAGTGGTGCTAGCCTCTGAGTTCTAACCTTGTTTTCATTGGTGAAGGCGAGCGTTCGCGCCCCCTCTCCCAATTGTCTTCTTTTACCAGTTGAGCTAGTGGTGCTAGCCTCTCTGAGTTTTGACCTTGTTTGATTGGTGAAGGCGAGCGTTCGTGCCCCCTCTCCCAATTGTCCTCTTTTAACAGCTGAGCTAGTGGTGCTAGCCCCTCTGAATATCTTGGGCATAGCTGGGTAAGGAGCATGGACGGCTCTCACTGCTGTACAGTCTGTGGAGCCATGCTCCAGATAGATGACGGTCACGACCTGTGTCCTGCCTGCCTTGGACATGACCATCTGGTGGATGCCCTGTCAGAGAACCCCTGCATGAATTGCAGCTTCATGTCGCATGCTGTGAGGGCGGCCCGGCTGGCCCAGTTTCGCCCCAAACTCGGCGATGACCTCCCGCCTTCTGGGCAGGAGGCTCCACCTAGGCGCTCGAAGCGCCGGACTGAGGCCGCAGTTTCTGTGGCCCCTCCTGGGAAGAAGCGAGCCAGGTCTGATAGGGGCCTCTCCACAAGGGTGGAGCAGCTCTCCGCTGAATTAGCGGAGATGAAGTCCCTTTTTCAGGTACACCAACTGGGAACTGAACCAGTGGCAGCAACTGGACTCTCCTCCCCACCCATGCCTGAACTGGCTGTGGAGGAGGATGTGCTATCCTTGGCTGCCTCTGCCTCTCACTTTTTAGGTGAGGAGGACGGGCATTCATCTCGAGTCTCAGAGACAGCTTCACTCTCTTCTTCTCGGAGTGCAGTTAGTGGGTCGGGTGACGGCTCGATGCAGGACATTATGCGTATGGCCCTGAGACAACTGCAGCTGGACGTCCCGCAACCAGAGGCGTCCACCCCTGGAAGTGCCTTCTTCAGGCGCGGACTGACCCCTCCTTCCTTTTCTGTCCCTCCATCAGAGGAGTTCCTGAGGGAGTTGCATGGTTGCTGGCGGGACCCCAAGGCCTTTGCGCGCCTCTCTGCAGATGGCAGAGTGTTGGCGGCCATGCATGAGCCGGCTGCAGCAGGCTTGGATCGCATGCCAGCGATAGAACCTGCTGTTGCCTCTCTCATCGTGTCACCAGATGAAGCTCTGCGCAGTCATGTTCGGTGCCCACGAGCTCAGTGTCGTGTCACGGATGAATTCCTCTGCAGAGCCTATGCCGCCGGAGCGCGTGCTGGCCGCCTAGGTAATTCCTTGGCACACCTAATGCTTGCCCTCTCCGCGTCCCTTCAGGGGACTAGTGGTGCGACAGCAGCGATGGGCTTTAACGATGCAGCGCTTCAGGCCTTTGCACTAATGACGAGGGAGCTTGGGCGTGTGATGTCCTCCTTGGTCCAAGCTCGCCGACAGGTCTGGTTAGCTCAGTCAGCGTTGACTGAGCCATGCCGTAGAGCCCTCCGTAATGTCCCAGTGGTGCCGGGGGAGTTGTTCGGTTCGGCTGCCTTGGAAGCACTGGAACGGACTGTCCAGGCACGACAGAGAAGGCAGCAATTTTCGAGCCTTAGCAGGCCAATGCCCCCTCCACCTCCTCGGCATCCAAGGCGCCTGTCGGCTGGCTCCAGCATGCAGCCGCCGCCTGGGGGTCATAACCGGCCGGGTGGTCCTTACCCTCATGCGGTTCAGCAAAGGCCCAGCAGGAGCTCTCGTGGGTTGGTCCACCGACCAGCTGGGCAGGCTCGGACCAGGGACTCTGGCTGCCGCCCCCCCACGGCCCCTAGGGGTCGTGGAGGGAGACGGTGATGCCATCAGGCCGACCGTCGGATATTTCTCCCACCAGCAGCTCAGCTATTGGGTTGCTCACGCCGTGGACCCATGGGTGGTTGCCACTCTGACCCATGGTTACCGGCTACAGTTCCGACGGCGGCCTCGTATCTCAGGCCGGGTCAAGATGACTGTAATCGCCGACCCGGTGAAAGCTCAAGCACTAGACCAGGAACTTTCCGCCCTCCTGGCCAAGGGCGCAATAGAGGCAGTGGACCCTCTGCAACAACCCAGGGGCTATTACTCGACTTACTTCCTTGTGCAAAAGAAGACGGGCGGGTTTCGTCCCATTTTAGACCTGAGGGGACTCAACCAGTACCTAAAGGAGCTGCCCTTCCACATGCTCACAACAGCAGAAGTCCTTCAAGCTGTCACAAGGGAAGAATGGTTCACGTCTGTAGACCTGAAGGATGCATATTTTCATGTGCCTATTGCGGCAGAACATCGCCGCTTTCTCAGGTTTGCCTATCGGGGTCACCACTGGCAGTTCCGGGTACTTCCATTCGGGCTCTCTCTCTCCCCAAGGGTGTTCACTCGGTGCGTGAAGGCAGCCCTCTCTCCTCTGCAGGCCTGCGGAGTGAAGATTCTGCCGTACTTAGACGATTGGCTTCTCTGCGCCCCGTCTCAGGCCTGTGCCTTTCACGACACAAACCACCTGCTCGCTCATATGTCCCAGTTAGGCCTCAATGTCAACCTGGAGAAGAGCTGCCTGATCCCTTCCCAGACGACCACCTTTCTTGGGGTGGTTCTGGATTCATCTTCAATGAGAGCTCGCCCATCCGCTCAAAGGGTGGCCGGCATACTCCAGCTGGTCAATCGGTTCAGGCTGGGCAAGCAGCTCCCCTATGTTGCCTTCCTGCAACTACTCGGCAAGCTGACATCAGTCACTCGGGTGGTGCCCTTAGGCCTGCTGTCACTTCGCCCCTTGCAGAGGTGGCTCAACAGCTTTCGCCTGGATGCCAGGCTGCACAGGCATCGCAAGCTCGCAGTGACGTGGTCATGTCTTCATGCCTTGACTCCATGGAGGGACGAAGATTATTTGTCCAGGGGTGTCCCCATGGGAGTGGTAGTGTGTCGCAGGGAAGTGGTCACAACGGATGCCAGCTCCATGGGATGGGGGGCTGTATGGCAACGCAGAGCGGTTCAGGGCCGCTGGGGTCAAAGAGACCATTCCAAGCATATAAATGTGCTGGAGCTGCGTGCAGTGCACTTGGCACTCAGGCACTTCCTGCCTCACCTGGAAGGGAGGCATGTACTTGTTCGGTCGGACAACACCTCTGTTGTCTACCACATCAACCATCAGGGGGGCACCAGGTCAGCACAACTTCTGAGTGTGTCCAGAGAGCTCCTGGAATGGGCCTCTCCTCGCCTGTCCACCCTGCGGGCAGCGTACTTGCCAGGGCGACACAATCAGGTCGCAGATTTTCTCTCCCGCCAAGAGTCCCCTCCGGGAGAGTGGTCCCTCCACAGAGACATAGTGCTGATGATCTGGGACCGTTTTGGTCAGGCAGAGATAGACCTGTTTGCGACGGAAGAGTCGACTCAGTGTCCCCTATGGTACTCTCTTACGGGGGCGTCGGGTGCGCTAGGCCAGGACGCATTGGCTCATCCTTGGCCAAGGGTCCTTCAATATGCCTTTCCACCCCTTTCTCTAATTTGGCCAACCCTTCAGAGAGTCCTCGAGGAGGGCCACAGGATGCTGCTGGTGGCTCCGTATTGGCCAGCGCGACCATGGTTCCCACTGCTACGAAGTCTATGTCAGGGCGTCCCATGGTGTCTTCCGACCAGAAGGGACTTGCTGTCTCAGTTGGGGGGACTGATATGGCACCCCAATCCTCAACGTCTTCGGCTGTGGGTGTGGCCACTGCAAGGCTAGGACAGCAG